TAGATAGGTCTGTCACCACTCTGATAGGTTTCCCTTTGTATGGTAGGGCCCTTTTCTCCCTAGCTGCTTTCAAAATTCTCTCTTTGTCCTTGTATTTTGCCAGTTTCACTATGATATGTTGTGCAGAGGATCAGTTCAAGTTACGTCTGAGGGGAGTTCTCTGTGCCTCTTGAATTTCAACTTCTACTTCCCTCCCCAGGTTGAGGAACTTCTCTGCTATAATTAGTTCCAGGACTCCTTCAGCACCTTTCCCTCTCTCTTCCTCTTCTTGGATTCCTATGATACGGATATTGCTCCTTTTGATTGTATCGCTGAGCTCTCGAACTCTTCTTTCATGTTCCTGCATCAGTTTATTTCCCTTTTTCTGTTTCTTCTTTTTCTATAATAATGTCTTCTAGGGGCGCCTGGGTGGCTTAGTCGATTAAGCGTCCGAGTTTCGCTTAGGTCATGATCTTGTGGTTCGTGGGTTCGAGCCCCGCGTAGGTCTCTGTGCTGACTGCCAGCTCAAAGCCTGGAGCCTGTTTCAGCCTGTGACTCCCTCTCTCTCTGACCCTCCCCTGTTCACGCTGTCTGTCTCTCTCTCTCCGTCCTAGTAATAAATAAAACATTAAAAAAGTAGTGTCTTCTAAATCACTTATTCTCTTTTCTGCCTCTTCAATCCGTGCATTGGATGCCTCCAGTTTATTATGTATCTCATTTATCGCATTTTTAAATTCATCGTATCTATTTTTTAGCTCCATGGTTTTGTAGCCATAGTTTCTTTGATGTCCTCCTTGCTTTTTTGAAGCTCGGCGATTAATTTTATGAATATTTTTCTAAATTCTTGTTTAGTTATGTTGCTTATATCTCTTTTGAGCAGTTCTCTGGCTGTCATTTCTTCCTGGAATTTCTTTGGAGGAGAGTTCTTCTGTGTCATCATTTTGGTTAGCTTTCTATCTTTTGTTAATTTTAAAAGCTTGTTATACACTCGACCCTGCGAGTTCTGATGTATTAGAGAGGGTTCTTTGACTGTTCAGGGCCTGTCTGTTCAGGAAGTGTTCTTTGGTTGGTGTCTCTGTTTTCTCTTATTGATCGTTTTGTTATTTTGTTTTTCTACTGGTAGTGGCATTTGGGGCTCTCCAGCATGTGTAGTTTGGCTTGTTTCTTGAGGCAGCCCTGGTAGAAAAACACAGACAACCACAGAGGGAACAGAGGTACACAAATGCTAGGGAAAACCAATAAACACGCAATCCCAGTCTCAGGATAAAACAACAACAACAACAACAACAACAACAACAACAAAACAGCTATCTGGAGGGGATGGGCGTGGTTTGGTATAGGCAGGTCTTGTCTCCAGTGTGTCAGATGGCCATTCCCTAAGGCCCTGCCCTGGTGGTTGTAGGGAGGAGAATGTCGTCACCCCAGTCCCTTCTCAACCAAGCATTGCAAATCACTTCTTCGTGTCTGATCTCCCTGTGCTGAGGATGTAGCTAAGGTGGGCTGAGTTCTATGCCCCACGCCCTACCTTGTTTCCAGGTCCCAGTCCGTGGGCTTTGTTATACCACTCTGAAAGATCCTGCAGGTTGCTGCTTCCCTATTGCGGGGGTTGAGTGGGGAGTGGGGATAGTGTTGTAGCCTCAGATCCGCTGGGCTCAAGCAGCGATATAACCCTAGTGCGTTCGGGTAACATAGCAACTTCAGGTCCACAGAGTCTGTGCCGCCGCCGCTTCAGCAGGCCGCGGTTGCACACGCCGCCGCTGCTTCACCAGGTGCTGGCACCACTTCACCGGGTCGCCACAGCCGCGAGCCGCCACAGCCACCGCTGCCACTGCTTCAGAAGGCTGCCTGCTCTGCCGCCATAGGCCTCGCTGCTGCTTCACCAGGCCGCCACCGCCATGGATGGTGCCTGGCCCGCCGCGGTGCAGTTTTTCCTGGCGCCTTCTGGGACTGGGGCACCTAATTTAAAGTCAGCACCCCAGCCAGAGCTAAAAAATACTCTCTTTCTAAGCCGAGGTTTTTTCTCTTCTCCAGGGACAGTTTATGAGCGATCTCAGCTTCTCCTTCCCTTCCTGTGGACTCTTGGCAGCTCACCACTGCTCACCAGTTAATCACACACTGCAGTTGCACACAAGCCAGGTTCCCTCCCCTCCCGCCGTGTCTCTGGGTCCCGTCCCGCTTTTATCTTCCCCAGTTCGCACTCACGCACTCATGAGGTTTCGTTCCCAGTGTATTCTGTCTCTTTCTCTTCCCAAACCCCTGTGGCTCAGTGTCCTATGACTTCAGGCCTTCTCTGTTTGAGAGATGGGTGCAGGCGAAATGTACGGAGCTCCCTACTTCTCCACCATGTTGTCCCCCTTGTATGCTGTCATTTCTTGACGGACCGTTCTACAAGTGATGACCTCCCTCATTTGTTTGTTTATCTATGAATGTCTTATTTTATCCTTTACTTTTTGAAGGATATTGTTACTAGTTACATAATTCTTGATTGACAGATCTTTTTCTTTCAACACTTTAAATATGGCATCTCACTGCCTTCTGGCCTCAATGGTTTCCAAAGAGAAATAAGATGTTAATCTTATTATTTATTCGTATGTGAAATCATCTTTTCCTGCTTTCACAATTCTCTTTGTCTTTAGTTTTGTCAGTTTGATTATGTGTCTGATTGTGGATATCCTTTAATTTCTCCAATGTGGAGTTTGTTGCGATTCTTGGATGTTTAGATTCATGTCTTTTACGTAATTTGAGTTTTCCAGTCATCATTTCTCCAAATATTCTTTTCCTCTCCTTTCCTCTGAAATTCCCATTATGCATGTGATAGTACATCTGACAGTGTCCTACAAGTCTCAGACTTTGTTCATTTTTCTTTCATTTCTTTCTCATTTTGCTCTTCAGACTGGATAATTTAAATCAGCCTGTCTTCATGTTAACTGATTGTTTCTCCTGCTGCTTAAATCTGTTGTTGGCTTCCTTTAGTAAATTCATTTTATGGTTGTCATTTTCATCTGCAGTATCTCTATTTTGTTCCTTTTTTTATTTCTTTTATCTCTTCATTTATATACATACTCTATTTTTATTCTTCTGATCTCTTTTAGTTCTTTATAAATGGTTTATCTCCTTGAGCATATTTAAGATAGTGAATTGAAAGTCTTTGTCTAGCAAGTCAATGCCTAGGCTTCCTAGACAGTTTCTATTAATTCCTTTTTTCCTGTGAATAAGCCATACTGTTTTGTTTCTTTACATGCCCTATAAATGTTGTTGTTGAAAATATACATTTAGAATATTATAGAGTAGAAATCTAGAAATTAGGTTCTCCACCTCCCTAGGGTTTGTTTTTGCTGCCTGTTGTGAGTTGGTTTTGTTTGCTTCTGTAGTGATTTTTCCATATTAAAGAATGTATTCTTTTTTATATGTGGTCTTTAAAGTCTCTGTCTCTTAAACTCGTGGTCAGTTAGATATTATATAAATTTTTCATGCATGCCTAGAGTCAGAAATGGAAAAGAAGAAAAAATATACTCTTATCAATCATTCTTAACCAGGATTTTAACTGGAAAGGAAAGAAAAAGAGTATCCATCTATAGGCAGGTGTATTATTAAAAAGAAGACATCATCTGGTCAGGCAAAGTAGGACATTTTTAACAAAGTTCATTCAAATGATTATTAAAAGGATAAATTTTTAAGACTCAACAAAAATAGATGTAGAAATGAAGATAAAGTATGACTGATGAATGACCTGAGGAAATAGTCCTAAAATATAGTCTCATTCTCTGTTTGTATTTTTCCCCATTTTTTGACCTTAAGTGTTTATCATTGTGTATGAAAACCATCTTAATTCAATAGCTTCTCAAGATTGAAAACAATGCATTATAGTTTCACTTTGCCTTAACATCTAGTATAAATGTACACAGATGTTGATGGAGACTAAAAAAAGTTAGGCCTCGGGGTGCCTGGGTGGCTCAGTCAGTTGGGCGTCCAACTTCAGCTCAGGTCATGATCTCACGGTTCGTGGGTTCGTGCCCCACATCAGGCTCTGTGCTGACAGCTCAGAGTCTGTTTCGGATTCTGTGTCTCTCTCTCTGCCCCTCCCCTGCTCATGCTCTGTCTCTCTGTGTCTCAAAAATAAATAAACATTAAACAAAAGAGCTAGGCCTCACTTTCTTCAATTGACATTCTGAGCCAAAATTATGTAGATATTACATAAAGCAGCAAAGAATGATTGGGGAAAGTAGACACATTACGTGGAAAAATCTTGGAGCCTGGAATCTGGTCCCAGCTCTACCATAAACTTACTCTGTTACCCTGGGCAAATCATTGATACTACACTCGTCCGTTTTTCCCAGCTATAAAATGAAACAGATAAACCAGAGAATTGCTAAATTTTCTTTACATTCTGATATTCTATGAAATCATAGTTCAAATGTAATAATATGTAATATTTGTTATAGATTTGCCTTGTGCTAGATACTATGCTAAACAGCAGCTACATTCATTAACTTGTTTAAGTCTTGAGTAACCTTGTGAGGTAGGTAATGTGAGAGAAGTTAGGGAACCTGCCTAAAGTCACAAAATGGCGCAACTGTGTTTTTAACCCAGGAAGTCTGAATTTATACCTGGCATGTAACTTCCACACTAAATTAACTAAATATACAAGGGAAGCTTGGTATTTAAAGATGTTCTCCAGTGAATAGTTGGAGAAAATGAATAATCAATCATCTTCTGATTGATTGTCTTTTTAGCTCTTGGTACCATGTTATAGCTCAAGAGTTTCCATTTGGTGGAATTTAAAAAATTTAGATTTACATCTGTATTTGTTAAATGAGTAGAAATTCTTGCTCAGGTTTAAGATGAAGAAAGATAGTAAAGTATGGAATTTCATCATACTTATCTTTCCTTAGCAGGTTGATTGTCTCCTAATATATTATTTCCATTGAATAAAGTGCTCAAAAATAATGATATGGACAAATTAATTAGAAAAATGATGTTTTTAGATATCACTAATTTGACCTTTCTCTTTCTTTTTACAGTGACTGTTTTGAGCCCAACAGAAAAAAGTAAGATAGTATTTTAAATTGTATTGGTCAGAATTGTATCTCTCTCTCTATCTAAAAGTAAGTTACATAAAAGCATAAAAATTGAGCAACTTTCCAAGGAATACTGAAATGAGTGGAAAGTATGGGATGGCAGTTTTCAGGAAACATACCCAGAGCGTACCCAGAGATACAGCAGAACATATTTTTAGTGTCCCCTAAGGCTGTAGGACAGAAATTGGAAGTTATCAGGATTTATGATAGAGAGGACCTAGGCTCTTTCTTCCTTCATCACTGTTATCCTAGGTACCTCGCCTTTCTGCACAATTCATTCCCTCAAGGTATGGAGTAAGGGCGCCACAAGGAAATATAAAGGATTTCGTTCTTCACCATAAGAGGTCCGATATAGTTACTATATTCTTCTCCACTCTTCACCCACATCCAGGTTGATCTACAATTTACACTACCACAGTAAAGAGATTGAGGAATTTTTCATTAAAAATGTGTAAACTAAGCATGAGTCTTAACAAACATTTAGCTTTACATTATTTTCTCAGGCATTACCTTAAGTATTTAGCCACTTTATATAGTCACTTTTAAATCTCACTTCATGGGATTAGCTATTGTAATTCATTAATTACATAATATTTATATTATGCTTTTTAAAAAATGAAGTTTATTTATTTATTTTGAGAGAAAGAGAGAGTATGAGAACAGAGGAGGGAGGCAGAGAGGCGGAGGGAAAGGGACTCCCATGCAGGCTCCACACTCATCATGGAACTTGACTTGGGGCTTCATCTCAGTGAGATCACGACCTGAGCTGAAATAAAGAATTAGAGGTTTATCCAACTGAGCCACCCAGGCACCCCTATACTATGCTTTTTATTTAATTTTTATTCATTCAATTTTTGTGATTTTTTTACAAATACTTTATTGTCAAGGTGGATTCCATATAATACCCAGTGCTTATCCCCACAAGTGCCCTCCTCCATGCCCATCTCCCCCCTTCCCCCCTACAACCATCAGTCCTCAGTTTGTTCTCAGTATTCAAGAGTCTCTCATGGTTTGCCTCTCTCCCTCTCCCCCACTATTTCCTCCCTTCTTCTCCCCCACGGTCCTCCGTTAAGTTCCTCCTAATCCTCCTACACGTGCAAACATATGGTATTTGTCCTTCTCTGCCTGACTTATTTTGCTCAGCATAACACCCTCAGGTTCCATCCATGTTGCTACACATGGCCAGATATCATTCTTTCTCATTGCCATGTAGTATTCCATTGTATAGAGAAACCACATCTTTTTTTTTAATATTGCATTACTTAATATTTATTAGTATTTTCATATAAAGCAGAAAATGTACTATAATCCCATTGTCTAGGAAATTATAGTAGATAGGGAAAAATAAGGAGCAATATATGAATACTAGCAGAAAGTAGAAACAATACTAAGAAGTATAAAGTGAAATTAAAAGCCCAAATCCACCCTTCCTTATTGAAGGTTTTTTTTTCTTTTCTTTTTTTTCTTTTTTCTTTATTTATTTTTTACAAATAGTTTATTGTCAAGTTGGTTTCCATATAGCATTCAGTGCTCATCCCCACAAGTGCCCTCCTCCAAGCCCATCTCCCCCCTCCCCCCACATCCATCAGTCCTCAGTTTGTTCTCAGTATTCAAGAGTCTTTCATGGTTTGCCTCTCTCCCTCTCCCACACTATTCCCCCCTTCTTCTCTCCCATGGTCCTCCGTTAAGTTCCTCCTAATTCTCCTATACCTGCAAACATACGGTATTTGTCCTTCTCTGCCTGACATATTTCGCTCAGCATAATACCCTTAAGTTCCATCCATGTAGCTATACATGGCCAGATTTCATTGTTTCTCATTGCCATGTAGCATTCGATCGTATAGATAAACCACATCTTCTTGATCCATTCGTCCGTTTATGGACACTAAGGCTCTCTCCATGTTTTGGCTATTGTTGAGAGTGCTGCTATGAACATTGGGGTACATGTGCTCCTATGCATCAGCACTCCTGTATCCCTTGGGTAAATTCCTAGCAGTGCTATTGCTGAGTCGTAGGGGAGTTCTAGTGTTAATTTTTGAGGAACCTCCACATTGTTTTCCAGAGGGACTGCACCAGTTTACATTCCGACCAACAGTGTAGGAGGGTGCCCGTGTCTCCACATCCTCACCAACATCTAGAGTTTTCAGATTTGCTCATTTTAGCCACTCTGACTGGCGTGAGGTGGTATCTCAGTGTGGTTTTGATTTGTATTTCCCTGATGAGGAGGGACTCTGAGCATCATTTCATGTGTCTGTTGGCCATCTGGATGTCTTCTTTGGAGAAGTGTCTGTTCATATCTTCGGCTCATTTCTTCGCTGTGTTGTTTGTTTTTCGGGTGTGGAATTTGGTGAGTTCCTTATAGATTTTGGATATTAACCCTTTATCTGATATGTCATTTGCAACTATCTTTGCTCATTCCGTTGGTTACCTGTTAGTTTTATGGATTGCTTCCTTTGCTGTGCAGAAGCTTTTAATCTTGATGAGGTCCCAATCATTTATTTTTGCTCTTGATTCCCTTGCTTTTGGGGATGTGTCAAGTAAGAAGTTGCTGCGATGGAGGTCAAGGAGGTTGTTTCCTGCTTTCTCCTCTAGGGTGTTGATGGTATCCTATCTCACGTTCGGGTACTTTATCCATTTTGAGTTTATTTTTGTGTATGGTGTGAGAAAATGACCTAGTTTCATTCTTCTGCATGTTGCTGTCCAGTTCTCCCAGCACCATCTGATATTGAGGCTTTCTTTTTTCCATTGGATCCTCTTTCCTGCTTTGTCAAAGATTAGTTGACTGTATACTTTTGGGTCCAATTCTGAGTTCTCAGTTCTGTTCCATTGGTCTGTCTGTTTTTGTGCCAATACCATACTGTCTTGATGATGACATCTTTGTAGTAGAGGCTAGAGTCTGGAACGGTGATACCTCCCGTTTTGTTTTTCTTAAATATTACTTTGGCTATTCGGGGTCTTTTGTGGTTCCATACAAATTTTAGGATAGTTTGTTCTAGTTTTGAGAAGAATGCTGGTGCAATTTTGATTGGGATTGCATTGAATATGTAGATTGCTTTGGGTAGTAATGACATTTTAACTATATTTATTCTTCCAACACATTGGAATGTTTTTCCATTTCTTTGTGTCTTCTTCGATTTCCTTCATAAGTTTTCTGTAGTTTTCATCATACAGATCTCTTTTATCCTTGGTTAGGTTTATTCCTATGTACTTTATTGTTTATAGTGCATTTGTGAATGGGTTCAGTTTCTTGATTTCTCTTTCTGTTGCTTCATTGTTTATGTATTAAAATGCAACCGATTTCTGTGTGTTCATTTTGTATCCTGCAACTTTGGTGAATTCTTGGATCAGTTCTAGTAGGTTTCTGGTGGAGTCTGATGGGTTTTCTACGTAGACTATCATGTCGTCTGCGAAAAGTGAGAGTTTGACTTCTTCTTTCCCATTTCTGGTGCCTTTGATTTCCTTTTGTTGTCTGATGGCTGATGCTAGGACTTCCAGCACAATGTGAAACAACAGTGGTGAGAATGGACATCCCTGTCGTGTTCCTGTTCTCAGGGGGAA